CCAGAGTGAAGTCCCATCGTGAGTACGAGTTACCCCCCTCATTTTCCCTCTTGTCCCCACAATATTACCCTTCATACCCCCCAACGGTGAGCCTACACTCTTTTGTTTCTTCCCCATTCAGTTATTATTTTTATATTTAGTTGTATTCCCTCGACACGACTAGCTTCTCCCCTTTTTCCTGCATTAGAGTCACTCCCTTTTTACGTGTACAAAAGTTGCCTGGCCTCCCCCACTCCCTAGATCTCAGTAAAGGCCTTATTTGAATCTTTTTACGATCCTAATTGTATTTAGAAAAGAATATAGATTATTATTCTCAAATTATCCCTTATTTGTCCCTTTTCTTGACTCGCCCCAATCATTTTTTCAGGAATTAGTATTATAGAATCTAGAAAACGGTCACAGCATATAACCCCAGGGTCCTCTACTTCTGAAACGGATAGTAGTTTGCATGCGTGAGCGTTGGACCAGAGTCGGTACATGAATCAATTATAGTAGCCTTCTTTATTGATTGCTAAGCAAGGAGTTACTCCGGTAAAACAAATTTCTTCACTGATCCAATAAAAGTTGAGATTTTATAATGAATTTTAAACATTAGAATTTATTAATCATCACTGAATAGTTTCTTGTAAATCTTTGAATCGAAAACAGTTTTTCAGGTTCATGATGTAAATATAACAAAATTGGAGAAAAAAGAAAGCAATAGAAGTCTTTTTCATAGTATTTCCTCATAGATTTTTCGACAATCAATGCGTCTTTATGTGACTTGGAACTAATAATTTTTGGGGACAAGAGTGTCAGCCATTTTTTTAGTCATTCGCTTGAAATACGTGAAAAAAAAATCGTTATGGAAGTTGAATTGGAACAAAAAAAATTAAATTGAAAGGAAAAGTTTTACACAAATAATCGAACATTTGCTGAGACAATTTCACTCAACATCCTCTCAGGAAGAGGTTATATGAGGACGTATCAATTACCAAAAAATGAATAAAATCCCATCATTTTCCGAAGTAAAATCGTTGAATTTCTCAAAAATTCTCATTTTTTGACGTTTTCTGCTTCCGAATGGAAGCTATGTAATTGGAATTTTTTTCGATTTCCTAGTTTTGGGTGGAAATGCCTAGAAATGTCATTAAACGTGAAGAAATGATGTTTTTAAAAAATGTATGTATGTATGTCTGTGGTCATGTGTGTGCGTATGTCCCCAATTGCCCCCATAATTCGAGAACGGTTAGCGCAAAGAACTTGAAATTTTGGCTGCTATCTGGTATTATTGATACTCAAAACTGGGCTAAATTTCAGCTCGATCGGTTGAACGCTTCATGAGATACAGCAATTCTTCAAAAATCGTTTTTTGCCGGTATCTCCTGAACCATTCGACCGATTCGATTTTTTTTTTTCAAAATACTCGTCGTGATGATACCTATCTAAATGGATCGAAGAAAGATCATTACACCCCAAGCAATGTGGTTTTATTCTCGATTGTTCATTTTTTCGCTGAAATTACTTGTAAACATGATAACCTAAAAAATAATCGAGATAGAAACTTCAAACTTGGTAGGATTTCAGGTCTTGTGATAACAAAGTTTGGTATTTTGGATGAGCAAAATCGTATCAGTAGTTTCGGAGATATTTAACTTTTTATGTGAAACTGTTTTGCTCAATATCTCAAAAACTATACAACCGATTTCAATTTTTTTTTTTCAAAATATTCGTCTTGATGTCATCTATCTGCATCAATCAAAATATGTATAGCCCTGTATAGAAACTTTTCAAGATATTGCCGTTTTTGTATTTTTTTGGTCAGAATTCACTCTTGAACACTATAACATGGATTAAAATCATGGAAAGCTTTTGAAACATTGACTACTAGTTAAGATTGTCAAATAACTTTCCTATATCCAATTTTAGGTCAATATATTCAATACTGAGATAGAACCATTTATCAAAGATTCTTAAGAAGAATAGGATCAACGCATCTATATTTAACTGTTCATTTTCACTCTACATAGACTGACTTAGAAAGATCATATCACATTAAAAAAAAAATTTTTCAGAAGAATGAATGTTTAAAAGAGAGTATTATTATGTAATAATAGCGTGAGAAATTATAGTCTCATTATGTAATTTTAAGGAATAATTGCTGAATTATATGAAGAATCGTAAGAACGAAACAAAAAAAAAGTCATGATTGAAATTTTTTAAAACAGTAATTCCGCTCTCAAGGTATAATATTATTCAGCTAAATTTCAAAATGTTGCTGCTTCTCTATTTTAATGGGTGGAAGAAAAAATGTACGTACGTAAAAGGGGCAGAGTCTATGATACATCAAAAGGTAATGAAATTTGAGTATTATTGGCCAGAACATTTTCAAAAATACCAACCAATAAGTATTCATTTCTAAGAAACATGGATCGAGTTCCATTTGGAAGCATACTACTAATGGAATTGGCAAAAACTAAAATTGAAGAAAAAAAATTTACACAAAAAGTAACAGTCATGAGCGATCTGTCAAATAGCTTCCGTCATACTGCTTGTTTACATGTTTTATGCGAATAACTAGAGAACTGCTGAGGCGATCGCCTCCACAAACTAATCAGTTCTAAGTTACATGAAGACCCATCGATTGCAAAAAAAATTCAAGGGCTTCATTTCGATTGTTCAGGAGAAATTGTTGGACAATATTTTTACTACATACGTACATACGTACATACACACACACACATACAAACATGCTTCAAAAATGGTTGCAAATGATTCCAAACGTCATGAAACGTGGACAAATCATGGAAAGTCCACATTTGATTTTCGGAGTCATTACAATAACTTCCTCCCTTTGGTCGGGAAGTTGAAAATATTAATTAAACCTTCCATGAACCAAGACTTACGATAAAATATTACGTGTTGGATAATTCAATTCGTGTAAAACAAGGGTAGAAAAATGCCTAGAGATGACAATCATTTGATTGATAACATTTTATAACTTCAATGAAGAAATATGTAAATTGTGCAGAGGAATAGGTACATTTGAATGAAAATCATCAACATAACTTACAAAGCAGCTCCAACCACAGAGAGAGACACAGCAAGTCCAATGCCCAGGGTAGTCCACATATAGGGACTCGTTTCTCCCAAGAACCTAAACTCCAAAAAATTCGTTATAATATCTCATCAGGGACTCTAAGAGAAAATATCTCAGAAACCGAATTTATTATATTACTCTTACCAAGCAATGCTGACTTTTTCGCCTTTTCCCGTGAATACATGGTACAGCGCTAGAAATAAAAGGTCCTGTATTATCTTTCATTCAAGGATTACAATGTCAAAAAATAAATGCCACAAAATTCGGATAATCACTTAATACTGTTATTGTTGCAGTGGAAGTGCCGAAGAATGATGCTCCTAGTATGTATCTCATCTTCAGTTCAAAAAATCAATCCCAGACGATCAGAACCTCCAGCAACTGTCCAGCCTAAACTTATCACAAATATTATTAAAACAACAATAATTCATCACTGAAATTTATAATATCTCAGACAATTTCTCCCTAATATTTTTAATCTTAAATAAACAGTAAATAACTCGAATCACCTTACGTATTTACAGTTGTTAAGAGTCAATTTTTTGAGAGTGCAAAAATTAGCATCCACACCCGTGATATGTTACTGTCATGTGATGAATTGGATTGATGGTTACTACCAAAACAGAGATTATAGGGGAGATGAGCAGGACCAATGTAAAGTGTTCAACAGCAAAATTCGTAGCGGTGGCGCATGGACTACGATGGAGCGTACGGAACTGTTGGTATGGTAAGGCCCGAGTATAAACTTGTCGATAACCGGAAAGGGGTTCTCAATACGGTAGCGCCTCGCATTTTGTAATAATTGTCAGGAATGTAAAATCGAACATATTATAATCAATAGTATAATGAATCCAGAATCTAATGATCTAAAAGTCTTTTCCTTTTTCTCGACATATTTATTATTGACACGTAGGTCAAAAAATTCATATAAAATCCCAGCGCTGTCGCTGGAAAACTATACTTTTCCAGTGATTCTATTGAATAATTGTGCAGATTTTGTTTTTTTTTTACTATAGTAATGTTCGATTATATATATTTATTTCATTGCTCAAGCCCAAAAAGGGCTCTTTTACCGACGGTAGTTAAGCATGAGAAGTAGGTCTTTTTACCGTTGAGCAGTATAAAAGTGAGAAATGCACTACTTAGGAGTGAAAAAGTGAGAAATGCACTCCTTAGGACTGAAAAACGTGTGGCGCCACCCAGCGTTAATGTTCCAAAATATAAAACTACATATAAAAACTGATAAATTCAGCCAGTGAATCCCCTTCATTATCTTCAAAATTGTTAAATTTTAAATTTGAAAATACACCTGAAAATTAAAATGAAAAATAAATTATTAAAAAATCTTAATTTTGATAATAATAATATTAGAAATATCATTTCATAGAAAATTTTTTTTGAAACTCTGAAATAAACTACAACGTACACGCAAGAATAATACTCATAGTTTAAATAATAAAATCTAACAAAACAATCAGTTATGCCCATCTATCTCAACTAAGATCTCGAGATTCACTTATTTTCCTTATTTTCTTTATCAAATACTTTAAAATTTGAGCAATTGTAAAAATTGAGATTGATATTTGGATGGGAACGTAGAAGTTGATTCAACTGTAGATTTGGAGCAGGATCTGGTGAGACATCATGAAGTGGAATTGGTGAGATGTCGTTGATCACAGGTTGGGGAATACGATTACAGAGAGATGATGGTGATTTGTTGGCTTCTCTTGGAG